TTGCGAACTTGCAGCACAGTGCGTGCGAAGGCTCATTTACAGAAGCGTTGCACTATTATGGCATTTGGGCGATGTTCCATTCCTCGCTAGCTCGAGAAAAAACTAATAATTAGCCCTCAACTTTTTTTTACGATCCCTACGTTTGGCCTCATGGATTTAATTTTATAACAAGAAATAGAAGTGAGGAAATCTTTAATACATTTTCTTTACATTTTTTTTTTATAGATTATCCGTTGTGTATCCAAGTAGAACTTTAATGATATATATATGAGTTCCTCGTGATAGATAATGTGTCATGAAACACGTCGGAAGAAAAAATATATTAGAGTGAATTTAGATTTCAAGAAATATCTCAAATAGGGTTGCTAATCGAGATTAATTTTTTAAACGAGTTTAAAATATTATTTAAACTCGACTCTTTTAAAAAATGAGTCGAGTTTGAGCCGAACTTGAGCTGAACCCGAATAGTTTAATTATTTTATATATAAACGAGCCGAGTTTAACGAGTTATAGTTATACCTAACGAGCCTAAAAAATTATTTAATCTCTTCTCAAACTTAAATTGAGTCCTAACTGAATTAAACCCAACCCAAGTCCTTTGACTCAATTATCATTCCTAACCTCAAAGGGAAAATCAAAGACAAAAAGTCATTTGATCCCACTCAAATCCTGCAATTATCCCCATAGACCCAGATAATCTATAGTTAATCCTCCCTCCAAAACCACTCCCATTAACAACTCCCTAATCTATATGTCTATCCATAATTTCTCTCTCTCCAGTCCCCCTAATCCCAACGCACAGATTCGTTGAGAAAGAACAAGTGAACAACCAACTACGGACGCGTCCATCTATATAACCAATTCTTACAACTAATATCTCGCCTCTATTCCAGCTCTCTCTCTCTCTCTCTCTCTCATCATATCTTTCTATCCCTATATCTCTATATCCGTATATTTACAATTTGAAAAAAGCCAGCAACTCTATATTCTTTACAAAACCCATCAAGGTTCTTGATCTGTAGTAACCATTTTTCCATGGGTTCTTCCTTTTCCCTTTTCTGCAACATGTGCACCAACAGAGCTACTGTTCCTTCGAAACCCAATCTTGGGGACTTGCCGGATAGCTGTGTGGCGTCGATTCTGGGGTATTTAGACCCACCGGAGATCTGTAGACTGGCTCTTCTTAATAGGGCCTTTCGAGGTGCTTCATCAGCAGATTTTGTTTGGGAATCCAAACTGCCTTTGAATTATGGGTCTGTGATCGAAAGAGTGTTTGAAGATTTTCCTGAGAAATTGTGTAAAAGAGATGTTTATGCCAGGCTTTGTCGACTCCATTCTCTTGATGGAGGCACAAAGGTGTGATTTTTATTCTAAAATCCTTTTGCTTTTTGTTAAATACTGTGCATATAGGTCTGTGTGGTATATCTTTTTGTGATTTTCGAAAACAAAAACAAGCCAAAACTGCTTTGATGGAAATGTTTGGTGAACATTTATAATCTTGTTTCGGAAGTTTTGGGTCTGACCCAAACAAACAAATGGATTTTGGGTTGATTTTGATCTCAAAAGTTCTTATTGAAACTTGAACAAAGAAAAAAAAGGCTTATGACTTATCATTGATGATGTTGTGTTTTTAGTAATTGAAAAAAACTACAGAAAATGATACCAAACGGCCCTTAGGTTTTTAGAAAAATCTGAAATAATTTTTGTTTTGTTGAATAGGAAGAAGAATAAGTGGCCTTATGTTGTGTAATCGTTGATGTTTGTTGATGGGTTTGTTGATTTGGGTTATGTGCAGAAAGTTTGGTTGGATAAGAGTACAGGAAGAATTTGTTTGTCAATTGCATCAAATGGGTTGGAGATAACAGGGATCGATGATCGGAGATACTGGAGTCGAATTCTAACCGAGGAATCTCAGTAAGTATTTAAGAAAAATAGATTTGTTTTGTTTTTTGTATTGATTTTCATAAAACCAAGAGTTTGATATTCTTTTAAGCATATGTTTTAGATTGTTGATCAAATCCAACTGTTTGGGGCATTTCTTAGTAGGTTAATTGATTTCGTTTTGTCTTTTAATCTATGGTTCTTATAGCATGTGATGTCGTGATCAAGTGTGTGAATCTGATAGTGTAATATGCCCTGCATGTGGTTTTGTAGTTGCTGAATCCTGTTATCTAGCTAGCCTTGGAGTCTAGATCTCGATTTCTTGATTTTTTATGACGAATTCTGCCCGTGATTAGGGGGATAAATTGGTTTTGGTCAAAAACCTTGGGTACCTTCTGTGATTCTGAATTCATCTATCAGATATGAGTACCAGAATCTTTGCGTGTTGGATGATTTTCATCGTAGTTGAAGTTGGATTCCAAGATTGTAGCATATGAATACCTAAAGTCACGCTATTGGAATGAAATCCTATTTGAATTTTGATGCATATGCATGTGCTAACCTTAGCATGTTTTGAAGTTCTTATTTTGAAAAAGCCAGAAAGGTGTTGTGTCTCTACCTTATGAAACTATGCTCATATTGTTCTTATTTTTTACCAGATACTGGGCATGCTCGTTTTTCTTTCAATTTTAGTTGGTGCATTATAAGTGTTTAGTAAAAGGAAGAGAGATGAATTGGTCTAAGTTGGACTCGTTTTCTCTTCGTAGATTCTGCTCAGTTGCATACCTCCAGCAAATCTGGTGGTTTGAAGTTGATGGAGAGCTCGAGTTCCCATTTCCAGCGGGGACATATAGCCTATTCTTCAGGCTACAGTTAGGACGGGCCTCCAAGAGGTTTGGTCGCCGAGTCTGCAACTCTGAGCATGTCCATGGTTGGGATATAAAACCCGTGCGATTCCAGCTTTCAACATCAGATGGCCAGCAGGCAGTCTCCCAGTGTTACTTGGATGAACCTGGAAAATGGATTCACTACCATGCGGGAGATTTCGTCGTTGAGGATCAGAATACACCGACGAAAATCAAATTCTCAATGACCCAGATTGATTGCACACACACTAAAGGCGGTCTCTGCGTGGACTCTGTTTTTGTGTACCCGAGTGAATTCAAAGAGGGGTTAAAGCATTTTTAGTTGCAATTAACCTTTTTTTGTATGAGCCTTTATGGAAGTAGGACATTTTCAAAGAGTCTGAAAATATGTTAGAGCTGGTTTGAGGCCTAGAGTCAATTGTATTCAAATAAGGCAATGTGTATATTTATCCCCACTGTTTGATTAGTGTGATTGTAAGTGTCATTTTCCTCTGAACAAATTTGTTCTGCTTTTTTTTTTAACTGAATGAAAACTTGTTCGAGGGTTAGAAAGAAGACGGCTCAACGCATGTGTTAGACAGGATTGTTCCGAACTACAATCAATCTAGCTGATAGGTCTGTAGATGGATTAAACTTTGATTGGTGGATCGGAAAGATGTGAATTTAGACAAGTGTCTATGGCCATCTGATTAGATTCCCCTCTCTTTAAAACCTTACTATTAATGCATCCATTCTAAATGATTTTCCCGCTTGCTACTTACATATAATAAGTAATGCTCTTTGGACCAAATTATTTACCGACCCACAATTGTCGATTGTATGAAATCTACTGTCAATCCAATGACAATATAGGAGTGGAGAACTAATTAGTTGATCCACATAAGGTGCAAAATGTCAATACAAGTTTACCGATTGCAGTGGTAGCAAGCCACTAGGCAGAAGTACAGGCTTTGTCCTCATTTTGAATTTTACACAATTCTCTAGCTTAGGCTGGTCATGAAATACTTTGTTGTAGAGATCATAAGATACCATACACCAAGCTCAGAGGAATTCAACAATGCTTGCAGAATTGAACAATAATACAAATTACTCAGAAAATCTTAGTCTGGTTGTCAGGCCAACAAAATATCCGGACCACAACTGGAGAATTAAACTGTTGCCCCTTCTCTAGCGATTTCCTTCAGGGGGAGGGGAACTCTGTAATCCCCACTTCACAGCATGCCACCCCGAAGAAAAGGGTCTCACTCAAAGAGGGCATGTCTTTACCGCCATTGTTGAGATAGGAAGTCTAGGAAAATACATCTGTGAAGTAAACAGGAAAGTTATTGGTTTTGTTGTTCACTGTTGCTGGGACGTCTTATATGGCATTTATCAGTGGTCCTTTGCAGCGTTCTTCCTTCTCCTTTTCTCAATAAAAGGACTCAAACTTTCCAGATGTCTGATAAATCACGCAATGATTTGAGTTAACTTTCGTGTAGAAACCTCTTACCGTCATATTATATCACATGCAAATATATACCTTGAGTTCATTGTATTTCTCTATAAGCTTTTGCTTCCGGATTTCAGCTGAAAAAAGAAGTAGCATTTAGTCCATGAAAGAGTTGTTGGTACAGGAATTGTTGCTTCTTCAAACCCATAAAATAATATCTGGAAACCCAAAAAGTCAAAACAGCACCTCTCTACAAGGGAAAAAAATCTTCTATTAACATCATTATTAGCATCAACATGCCCACCTTTGTCACTTCTATTGGTATATCCCTATCCTTTTGCAGACCAGTTCTAGGACTCCCTGTAATTTATGGATATGTGCTTGCTGGATATTCTGGATGTTTGGATAGAGGAAAGCGAAAATTAGATTTTTATTTTTTTTTCCCTTTGCCTACTAAACGTATAAAGAAGTATAGTCAACGACAAAGAAAGAGAGACAGAGAGCACTACATTTCTTCAAATAGAATGGTTGTTTCCCTTGCTTTGCTGCATCTCTCTCTTTCTTGTGCACAGCTAGTATCTCTCTGTCAGTACGTTTTGTTGATGCAGACTTCAGTTGTTTGTCCTAGCATGAACAAATATAAGGAAAAGATATTCAAAAGAAAATTGTTGTATACATTGAGAAAGGAAAATCGATAGAAGTAAATTTAAAACGGTCAGATATGATTCCATCCAACATAACAACTGCGTTTTACTTGCGTAAGCACATACAATCCAAGCTATCTGATCTTTCAGTCCGTTAATAGCTTCTGAGTCATTTGATTTCTTCATCAATTTCCTTAGTTCCTGTCAATGCCAAAAAGAAATTACCAACAATATATATAACATTATAGTCATGAATTTCAAAATTCCTATACTTTAAGACGCTGTACTTTCTGAATTTCCTTAAGTACCTCTTCTCAGTAGGAAGATTATTCTCACAAAGAAAATTGTATCTCTTCTTGAACCTTAAAGAACCACAGTAGGTATTAATATAACACAAAACACATGGCTTCCAAATGCATAAAAGGTGATATGCAAAGATCAAAATCCCATGGGATTTGAGAAAACAAAGCATAGGCATGAAACGGCTCAAGGGTACACAAACTCAACACTCTGCAAAAATTGCAAGCCATATTGGTCAAAATTTTACTACACTTCCAGTTTAAAATACCCAGATTGGGTAAAGATCATGTCCACAACAATTTTCTCGCCTCGAGATAAATGATACCATCTACGAGAGTAGGTCTCCATTGTAGAATGACAATACTCGTGGCATCGAGTTTCGAGGACTCCAAACGGAAATTAAGCAACAACAGTTTTAAATTGGGAATGAGTTCTATTGTATGGCAAGTAGATAAAACCATTTCAAAGTTATTTATTTATTATAGAAAAAGGACACAAGTTAGTATGACATGATTTATCATTCACCAAATAGAGTAACCAACTTCATTTGAGTTCTTAGATATGGTAAGAAAGGCCTTTTGCAGCAATATTTACTATTAAGCATTTACAGTCCCAGTAGCTTTAAGTTTCAGTATCTAAGGAACAAAACTTTATTTGAGTGTTTCTCATATTGCAAAGTTGGAATATCTAAGAGACTGAACTCCTGTTTTAGTGTTTCTTGGATTTATGAATAGAATAGTTGAGAACTTATTGTTTCTTTTATATGTTTAGGGTACTACTAGCAAGAACCCACTTGCTTTGCTTTTAAATGGTACAATGCTCAAGAAGAAATTCTTGAGAAGGAAGGTTTGAGTTGATTTCATATTTTCCTTTATTTTTTCACTAATTTTTTTTAGAAGTATTCTGTGTAATTGCTAACATAATTAAGTTGTTATTCACAGTGGAATTGAATGTGATTCAATGTTGTGGTATTGTTTGAATGAAAAGTTTGTAATTTTGCTTATTTGATTTAAAAAGTATATGGGTTTTTACAGAAAATTTTGGTCAAAAGTCAAGCTGAAAGTCTTGGATTTCATGAGGGAGTGCAGAATTTTTTATACGGTTCATCAGGAGTGAAGGCGATTGATAAGAAGCAATATCAGTGTAATCACTTCTGGATGTTGAATGCAATCATGAAAATTGGCTTGGTCACAAATTAAATGTGTTCGAAAGTGCCACTTGCAAATAATTAGAGAGTCTAAGCTAAACTTTGAGGGTGATTGGCGTTACCTATATACAATTAGAATAGGTTTTTCTTGAAAATTAATAAATTTGTTGATTTTATTTTTACTTCCATATGTCCGATTGAGGTTAACTAAGTACAAAACTATATTTTTTGTTGATGTTGGCATTTATGCATCTGTACAAAGTGTGACGCATTATATTTGTGATTATTGGTCATTCATTTTTATCTTGCTCCATCCAAATAATACTGTAAATTTTTCTCTAGCTTTGTCTTTGTGCATACACCTATTACAAGTTAAGATAAAGAGAAAGCAATACTTACAAAAGGTGCCCACTAATTGAAGGTTTATGTCTTACTTTTTATCATATAAAGTGAGATTATTTCATTTTCTATTTTTTTGCAATTCATTATGTTTTTAATGTTTGGTTGGTTGTTGGTATTTATGTGCTGTATGACTAAAAATCTATCAACCAAGTTCATTGTTGATATCTTTACAGGTTACATAGTCCTCACGTGCTCCAAATATGTTTTGATATGAGGTTGGTACATGGATTATTCTCTATTTTGCCTAGACAATGTCTTTTGGTTGGTTTCATGTGGTAGTAGATTGAAAAAGTCACAAAAGTATAATTTACATTTCTATCAAATATTGACTACATTCGATTTCTAGCTCTATTTGTCGGCAGATTGAATATGTAAAGTTGGTGGCCTTTGTGGTAGTAAGTTATGTTTAACCATAACATAATTCTTGAGGTTGATAATGGTGATTGAAGTTTTTTTGTAAAATATGGTCAATTCATTATATCTTTATGCCTTTAAAAAACTATTTTTCAAGGATATTTATCTCTATCTTCATATTTTTGGATAATGATATATACAATGAGATTTATAAGTTTTGTAGATAGGTTGCGATTTTTTTGAGTTTTTATTTTAGCGGAAAGCCTGACGAAATTTATTGAAAAAATAGCGGGACTTAATTGATTTCAATTTTTTTAATTAAAGCAAATGACACAAAAATAATTTTTAAATGGTGGGTTTTTAGATTGCAAAGTGTCTTTAAGCACGGGTTATTACTAGTATATATATTACTATATTATTGTTCATGTTACTATTTTTGTGGACATTTTACTATTTTTGTTGGACATGTTACTGTTTTTGTTAAACATGTTACTACTGTTATTTTCTCAAATATTAATATTCAATGTTATAATTTGTTTCATTTTTGAATATTATTATTTATTGTGTTTAAATGTTACTACTTTTTGTGTGTTTAAATAGTACTATTTTTTGTTTTCGAATGTTACTATTTTTTGTGTTGGAATTTTAATATTTTTAATGTTACTATATATATATATATATATATATGAGAGAGAGAAATAAATAGTCATGTTTTATATATAGATATAGATAGATATAAGAAAGAGGAAGAAAATTTTAATATTAGTCGAACTCCTAAAATTTAAGAGTTGTTAGTTTTTAAATTTGTGTTTAATTAAATATAACTATTAAGAGTATTTTGAACAATGAAGATCAAAATAGACTTAATATTAAACAAATTTTTTTAAATCCATTACCAAATAAGTCCGCAAAGAAAGACCGCCCTCCAAATTTTTCAAATAAAATAAACCCGAGTCAAGCCCAGATAAGTTAAATCGATTATCTACCCTTGATCATATATTTTGGTGTATTCAAAAAGTCTAATGTTAGATTTGGTTTGCAATAATGCTTTTAAATATAATAGAATTCATTTATTACAAATGGTTTTGTAATTATTCAAAAAAAAATATGTATATATTATTTTATTTTGGTGCATTGATTGCCTAGAAGTAATTATATATATATATATATGGATAAAAATAATTAAAGAAAACTAATGTGTCTCTAATAAAAGTCTTGCTTCTAAAGAGACTTATTATGACTATTCTACATGTGTTTTAAATAGAATAGTATTATTTGATAGAAAAATCCTAGAAAACCAAAGCAAGTGACAAAAAATAAAGAAAATATATATACACGTGTGTGTGTGTGTGAGAGAGAAAGAGAGAATGAAGGAAAAAAAGAAGAACGAAAAAAAAAAAAACAAAAAGGGATATGATCCATTGAAGGTATGAATTCATTAATTATTTTATGAGTTTTGTATTCTATTCAATTACATGATATTAGGTTTATTATAAATAGTGATAATGAATATATATATATATATATATATATATATATATATATATATATATATATATATATATATATATATATATATATATATATATATATATATATAGTGGGGGCGAGCAGTGGTAGTGATGGTGTGCGGTAGTAATGGTTGTGGAAGATGGTGATAGTTGTGATGAATGTTTTCAACTGATTGTAATTATGGCAGCTATAGGTAACAATGGTGATTGTGTTTAGGGGCAATGGGAGTGATGGTGGAATAGTGACAATGATAGTAAGATGGCGGCAATGGTAGAGTTACAATAGTGGAGGTGGTGGGGGCGACGGTGGTAATTATCGTAGAAGAGATGATGGTGAGGTGATAGTAGTGGTGGCAGTGACGATGGTAACGGAGAGATGGGTGTTGTAGGGTGGCGACAGTGGTGGTGGTGGCGATGAGATCGGGAATGGTAGAGGTGTTAATGAGACGATTTTTAAACACTAATTTTTTTTTTTAAATACTTATAAAAGTTTACACCCCGTAAAAATTTGTCACAATATTTACTTGTAAACACGCACATTAATTTTTCGTGACAACTAAAATGCATAGTAATTTATTGGAAATCTATAATATATTATGCGTCACGTACATCACTGACATCGTCGTGTCATGTCATGTTGGGTTTACCAACTACCGAGCGCTGATTATTTTTTTAAGATAAAAAATAAGTGAAATATATAATAACCAAATTAAATGCAACGTAATGGGTGATTAATAAATGCTGCCGGTGAAGTTGTTAGCAGGCTGAAATTTATTGCTGCAATTATCTTCCCCCAGTTATGGTGTCGACAGAGCATTTAGCTCCTCAGTGAGCCCCACCTATGATTATGAATCTCCCCCCTTTGAATCTTAAAGATTAGACCAATCAATTCTATTTCTATGCACACAATATGCAACGAAAAATATTATACAATTTAAATAAAATCTAAAAAATATAATTCAAATATATATTACATTATTATTTTTTAGATTAGTGAATTTCACTAAAAAATTGATGAGATACATTCATTTAAAAGATAACATGCATTTAAACTATAATTTTTTAAATTTCATTTAAATTGTATAACTTTACTCATACACAATAATTATTAATTAACATGCATAAGTTTTATCTTAGTAGGTTTATATTGTGGATAGATTAACCTTTGTCATATCAGTTTAATAAATAATTGGACGCAATACTTTGCTAACAAATTATACCCTGCTATAAATAGATTGGTACTTTTTCTATTGTTGTGGTACCAAAAAAAATGGTAAAAATATTTACCACGTAATAATAAAAATATTCACAAATGTGATAAATACGTCCACAAATGTGATAAAATCATCCCAAAAGTGATAAAATTTTGTGTACTTAAAAAAAATGGTAAAATAGTTACTATAAATGTGGTAAAAATACCCACTTAAAAACACCCATAAAATGGTAAATCAATTATAAAAATGATAATTTTTTTTATTGTAAAATGACTTATAAAAATTATAAAAACACTTTTTAAAATAATAAATTTTGGAGTTATGGTATCAAATTTTTTTTGACTATACCATAGTCAAATCCATACTTGAGATTTATCAAAACCGTTTTATTGATTAGCTTGATTATCTTTCAACCAAGTGTAACTTTAGAAATTGAAACGTCTAACTTGACTAATAAAAAATAATTTCATCAAAAGAGTAAAAATATATTTAATTATTATTTGTATAATAGTGATGTAGATTTCTTTTCGTATATAAATAAGGGCAAATTTAGTTTTTCATTTTAAAATGTTTTAAAAAAATTATTTTGTATCCTTTTAAGATTAATTTTTTACATTATAACATTAATTTATTGAAATTGTTATAATATGATTCTTCTATTAGTTTATTTTACTCATTTTGCCAACGTGTGTGTTGCATGGTATTAGAGCATAAACGCAAGTCTCTTTGAAGGTCAAGTTTCAAAAAACATGTAAACTCTTTTATTTTTTAGGAAGTAAACAGATGTTCAAGCACTATTAGCAGTATGAGCACTTCTCCGTAGTCCCCAAAAATATAAAAGAAAAGACATAATTCGACAGACAACTCATCAAAGGCAGTAAACGCTCTTTTTTGTTGTCAACTATCTCGTCATTTTAAAGAAATAGAATAAGTGATGACATTGACCTTTGCTAATCCCAAATTAACCAAATAAACAATAAAAACTAATGAAATTAAATGATCATATTATAATATTTTTAATATATTAATGATATAATATGAAAAATTTCATCGTACAAGATGAAAAAAATTAAATCTTTTTGGAATACATAGTGAAATTCTCTTATATATATATATGTATATTTTATTAAAACTAATTAAACTATAAAAAATTTTCTATCAACTCTGCCATTGGTATCTTGAAGTCTATCGCAAAGTCAAAACAGAACGACACGTTTGCCCATCCACATACTCCTCGAAACCCATATCAAAAGTTTTGTACTTTTATTCCCCATAATTTCTGTCTATTTATTTTCTCACTCGTAAATCTCTGAAGTCTGCATCGGTTTCCGAGCCAGAAGTTGGGTCACAAAAGACTCGGAACTAGTAGCTCAACGACAAACAAAGGTTGGTTGAGTTAGGAACGGAGACCATGGACTTGGAATCAATGGCGTCGGCAATCGGCGTCTCGGTGCCGGTGCTCCGATTTCTCCTTTGTTTCGTGGCAACAATACCCGTCAGCTTCCTCTGGCGTCTCGTCCCCTGCGGACCACCTGTCAAGCACCTCTACGCCTCATTGTCCGGTGTTATTCTCTCCTATCTCTCATTTGGGTTCTCCTCTAATCTACATTTTTTGGTCCCCATGCTCTTGGGTTACGCTTCAATGGTGTTGTGTCGTCGGTATTGTGGGATCATCACCTTCTTCTTGGGATTTGGGTACCTCATAGGATGGTAAGCTGTTGATTTTCTTATTTCTATGCTAATTTGCTGATGCTATGGAAAGATTTTTTTTTTTAAATTATTATTGTTAGGTTTTTTCACCCTTTTTCCTTCACGGGGAGAGGTTAGCTTTTGGTGTTCTGTTTGGCTGCTGAGAAAACCTGGGAAATTGAATAGATTGACGGTCACTTTTTAGATTTTTGGTCGTTTGGGACCGTGAAAACAGCCAAATTCACTCAAAATGGGCTATATATGGTTGAATTACATGATAGATTTCTTTGAGATTTAAAATTTTCTCTCTTCATTCTCTTATCAATTCTCTCAGAACCAATCACACACCCCTGAATGCTCTTCTCTTGGGCATTCTTTCCTGTTCATTTTGTAATGATTTTCTTCTAGGGCAGAAGTGTTTAAGAAACGAAACTTTATTTGGGTTTGCTGTTGTTTTCATCAACCAGTCACCCTAGAATGCAATTTTCCTTGGCATTCTTTCCTTTTCATTTTGTAATGATTTTCTTCGGGGGCGGAAGCTTTTAAGAAACGAAACTATAGGTGGATTTGATTTTGTTTCATCAACTTACTAATACAATTTGGTGTGGATTTAGCGTGAGGGATTTGTTGAACTCATATGGGATTCATGGGTTTTCACTTATTAAAGGGGGAAAACAGTTGATTTGTTGGATACAGGTTTTAGTTTTGGTTTCTAATCCAGTGATTATCTTCATTTAATGTTAGAATATACGAAGTTCATGAAATTCTGAGATTTTTGTGGGAGGTATTCATAATTCTTTACTTTTCATATACATGTGTAGCCATGTATACTACATGAGTGGGGATGCATGGAAAGAAGGAGGTATTGACGCCACTGGTAAGCTCTATCACATGCTATTTACCTGCCTTGTGTTCCATTTTTCACATGGTAACATAGTAATGTCGCTATGCTTTCAGTTTATATTACTTTGCTTGAGTAATGATATGAAGCTCGATGTAATCTATCTATCTATATATATAAATCAAACTTTTTTGGGATAGAGGGCTTGAGAAGCTTTCCCTCCCATTTTTCTTAATTTATAAAATTTTATTTAATTAATGACAAAGTTAGGCATTATTTAATCAACAACCAGCACTTGGTTAATATAACTATCCTTCCACTATCTCACTAATTAACCACTCCTCATTCAAATTTTTTTTTAAAAAATTCAACCCCCTATAAATTTTAAATTCTTTAACTACCCATGTTGGGTGATGGGAAAAGAGGACAGCCTGGAAGGGAGAGAAGGAATGAGCAGGAGGAAGATGAGTTATCAATTCCATGAAACTCCCGGTTCGCCCACTAGTACATTAAAGTTGTATGAAGAAATAAGTAAAGCTTCAAAACACAACTTTTGCCATGGAGGATAACTTTTAGGCACGATACTCATGTTGGGACCCATTCTTTGGGGAATGCTTTATTGATGACTAATATTTTTACTAGATATTGATACCTGTCTCAGTTTCATTCTTATTTGAATACTCGTCATGTTTTGGGGGGGTGGGGGGAATTGATTTTTGTTGCATGTGTGTGCAATCAACCTGTGATCGTATGAGGAACCCGCTAATCCTTGTTGCCCTATTTCTTTTTATTTTACCGTTTCTCGCAAAAATCAGAACTTTTCTTGTTAATCTATAGTCTATACAATTTGATTATTCCCAATTCACTAAAATCATCTTTCTTTCCCTAATGTATAGGAGCGTTGATGGTGATATCATTGAAAGTCATTTCATGTGTGCTAAATTACAATGATGGAATATTGAAAGAGGAGAATCTGCGTGAGACACAAAAGAAAAATCGGTTGCTTAAGTTGCCATCATTGACTGAGTACTTTGGCTACTGCCTCTGTTGTGGAAGTCACTTTGCTGGTCCAGTTTATGAAATGAAGGATTATCTTGACTGGACTGAAGAGAAAGGGGTATGTTAATTATTTAGTTCTATTGTGCTTCTGGATAGTTTCTCTCATTGGAATTTACTAACTTTAGCTTTGATCTTTCTCCTTCCCAGATTTGGAAGCCTTCTGAGAAGGGACCATCACCATCACCATCACCTTATGGGGCAACAATTAGAGCTCTTCTCCAAGCTGCTATTTGTATGGGTTTGTATTTGTACCTGGTGCCCCATTTCCCGCTGTCTCGGTTTACTGATCCCCTATATCAAGAATGGGGGTTCTGGAAACGGTTGTGGTACCAGTACATGTCTGGCTTTAGTGCACGTTGGAAATATTACTTCATCTGGTCAATCTCAGAGGCTTCTATCATTATTTCCGGCCTGGGTTTTAGTGGTTGGACAGATTCTTCTCCACCCAAAGCACGATGGGAGCGTGCAAAAAATGTTGACGTTTTGGGTGTTGAGTTGGCAAAGAGTTCAGTTGAATTACCGCTTATGTGGAACATACAAGTCAGCACTTGGCTACGCCACTGTAAGTATCCGTTGTTTCTAATGATTGCATGTCTTTTTTTGTCCCTAGGTGTTGCTGTGCTTTGTCCGTAGTACATAAATGTGTAAGAAAATTTTAAGTACTGCAGTAGGATTTATTTTGTGCCTTGATTACAATCTTAGATTTGCCTGAATGTTATACGAATAAGGGAACCTCAACTTGTTTCATTTCTACTTGTTTTGTTAAACTTGTATCCTTATTACCTTCAATTAAAAACAGCTCATACACTGTTTTTAGGTCCATTTGGGATCAAATGCTGATTCCAGCCTATTACCAACCACCCAAGGCACCTATGATTTCCCAGCTTTACCTAACTACACACTTTTGAATTTCACTAAACTATTACCATTGGTTAAATATTTTTGGGCACCCAGCTGGTGAGATATTGAGAAGGTGATAGAAATTGCAAATAATATGATTAGGAATGCTGAAGTTCATTTAGGTCACGGCAATTGGCTAAAATCATTTATCCATGTAATTATATGGATGGCAATGGTTGGGGACTTATTAAGTTGTAATTGGGTGGGATTAGACATATCCTGCCAGTATGACTAAGATGGAAACTCAATTCACGCCAAGGCTATAAATGTCAACGTTTAACATAGCATGCTGATCCTGGTGGAATGGCCAACCAAAATTTTCACCCCTCTGGTTGCATGGGTTGGCCTAACAATTTTGCCTTACAGGCCTGTCTGGATGGCAGGTTATGTAAATTGTGACAGGTTTGGCGTTGACTTGAGGCATTAGTGGTTTATATGCTGCAAACCCGAACCAGCTAAAACCAGGAAGATTGCAAGTTGGGTTGGAAATAGCCACCTCAATACCAGACATCTGTGAAAGCATGGTGCAACTGTTCAATGTGATGAATTTTATGCAATATCTAATCCTTGCTATACTCCTGCAGATGTTTATGAGAGGCTCATTCAGAAGGGAAAGAAACCTGGTTTCTTTCAGTTGCTGGCTACACAGACTGTCAGTGCAGTCTGGCATGTAAGTATAAACTCCAGATTTTGCTATTCTGAATATTCTTTTCTATCCACTAATCATAAACACTCTGCTATAGTGTTGAATGCCTAGGCACTTGTTTAAATTACTGTTCAAGGACGAATAAATTTCCCACTTATCAATTTCCAAATATATGTGAGCGTTACAAATTATTCTTCTACTTCTTAACAGATGCATTTGTAGTTTGGAATGATTTAATTGTAAATGCCCTTAATTTATATTTTGCGCTTCTTTAGTGAGATGGATATTATAGTGACTTTATTTTTTTCCAACCAGAAAAGTAGCACATGAATTGGGATCAACTAATTATTCTTTCACAATTTCATTCTGATATTCATGAGTTATGGGTGATGAAGATGTAACATATTGACACTCGAATGTCCAATTGATCCTTGATGCAACTTCTGTGAGTTGATATCATCCTCTGGGCTGATGATAGAATTTGTCTACTTGTGTGCATTTCTGTGTTTGAGACTGCTAATACCAATACAAGCCATGACAAATTTTTATTTATTTTTTTGGCTGAGTATTGGTACCTTTCATTTTTTTGCACTGTTTGTGTTGTTTCTCATACAAAACCTTGTCCTTGTGATATATCACCATTCTATTTTTTATGTTGGGGTTTCGAAACTGCCTTGACTCGTTATGCCATAAACGACCTATATATGGATCAACTCCATGATGCCATCTCACCCTCTTAAGTATGGCAACTCTGTCCCAGTTGCGTTTATTTTTCTGTTTATCACCCACTGAAGATCAGCCTAAAAGGATCTAAAGAACTTTTTTTAAGAAATGGAAAGAATGCAAATGATTACAATGTCTTCCTTCCATCTGTAATATCATCTCAGACATTTTCGCATGTGACCTCTATGCTGCCCATTTTGTTTGCAATAATGGCTTTCTTTCATCGAAAATCTCCCGTAATATTTTGCCACCTCAGAAATGCCAGTATGTCTGGGTTATTTGTCTTCCAAAAGTTGCTCTTTCAACATTCAAGCTGCTTATTCAAATGGTTTCATTCTGTTACAGGGATTATATCCTGGGTACATCATATTCTTTGTACAGTCTGCTTTGATGATTGCTGGTTCAAGAGGTAACAATCAGGCCTTCCTTTCTCACTGTGCTCTAATCCACTGATTGAGCATCTCTTCCAAGAACAATTGCCTTGCCATTAATTTTGGTTGTTATGAGCAGTCATTTACAGGTGGCAGCAAGGTACTACTATGCCTTTGATCAAGAAGTCACTGGTGTTTATGAACTTTGCTTACACGCTTCTGGTTCTGAACTATTCCTGTGTTGGTTTCCTGGTTAGTCTTTTCCTTTTTCTTATTCTGTTTCTTATTTGTTTTTTTCCTGTTTCTTATTCTGTTTCTTATTTGTTTTTTTCCTGTTTCTTCTTTCATTCATGGTAGAATGAGAACAAGGGTGATTCACTGTTTTGGAAGCTTCATGATATTTCTTTGTATGTATGTCACAGGTATTAAGCCTGCATGAAACACTTGCTGCGTACGGGAGTGTATATTACATTGGAACCATTGTTCCCATAGCACTTTTTTTCCTTGGTAACATAATTAAACCGGCGAAACCAGCCAGATCTAAAGTTCGAAAAGACCAGTGAGGTACAAACCACCTTTTCAGATTCCTTTTGGTATGTATGGAACTGGGATTGCCATTGCCACATCGATCCTGCTTATACTTGGAAACCGAGGAAGAGTGCTGCTTTCTGCTGCATTGCCTTGCTTCGTGATAACTTGTAACATTTGTTTTGGTCTTTGAAATTATTTAGGCTGCCCACCTTTTAATCATTGGCATTGTTTCAATTCAGTCAACTTGGTTACCAGTTTGGCAATCTTGTAGTGGAACTGTATGATTACTGAGAGATGTCTTTTTTGGTTTTTGGTTAGACAATACATAGTTGCTCCCCCCTCTCTTTTTTCTTTTTCCTCCTTCCCCTTCAAAAAATAAATACCCCGTAAGATGGGTGATTCTTTGTAGGAGTGAAGTGCAGGTCCAAGAGTAGGCTCCCCCTTCCTGTTGTTGTTGGAGAGAGAAGTTAGAACATCTGCTATTTTGGTCTTCGGCTGTGGTGCTAGTGTAATGGGTGAGATGAGAAGTAAGATTCACTTGGGTGTGCCTTCCCTCCCAAATTAAACTGACGTTAGTAGTTTTTTGCAATCAAAATTCAGAAAATTTTCGAGCAATGTTACTTGAGGAAGCAAAAATATTTCTGTTGTTAAAACTAAAGATATGTTGCCATTTGTAATTGTTTTGCTTGACAGAGGTGTGGGTTATATGTATAGCATGGCATTTGATTTTGGTCTAGGCTAAGAAATGCGACCACACCAAAAAGACAAAATAATTTTATCATCAAAGCAATGTAATAGTGAGATAAAATTGGTCTTCCTTTGGGTGTCCTTCTAAATGGTTGGGATATTGTCACGATGATAATTCAAAAGATTAGAAGTGCTTTGTCCTCTCTGGAGGCATACTGAAAAACTGTGCGACTTGCTCAGCATTTCTCCGATGGGATAATGCTGACTTGCCCTATTGAGGATTTACTTGCATTTGTTCATTGCAGATCTGCTAATTTATTTGTCTAGTTGTGCATATGATGGTAAAAAAGCTTGTTAAGTTGTTCCAAGTCCTTGAGTTTCACATAATTCTCCGTGACATGACACTCATTCTGTACCCAAGCAGTTGTCTTCCTATTAAAATCATTGGTGTGAAGGTTTATGTTACTTAAATGGCCTGTTTTTGGGTTTCTGTTAGCACTCTCATCTTCCATGGTATGTTCCTATATGTGGAGCACCTAACATGATCAAGATTGTATATCAGTTAGCAGAAGATGGTAGGACCTTCTTCTCACTCACTCACGCAATCTCTGGTTGTGTTGGCCTCATCATGCCTTGAGGAAGGCAGCTGGAGTGCTGACTTATGTGGCCAATTTGGTTAACCAATGCCAGAAGGAAGATCATTCTGGAGTGGGCCACCACTCCCTAAAGGAGTGTTTGATTGCTAATCATATTATTCATTCTTGGGATGGAAAAACTGTGCCGTATTATTTTGTAGTTGCTTCTGGAATTGTCAGTGATGTACTGGCCTTAAACCCCCACCTCTTGAAAGTGATCCAAAACAGATGGGGCTATACACATGGTGCCTATAATACTCTGCCCCTTGATCTGTCCTGGGTTTTATCTTCTCTTTCTCAACCACTACAAGTTTATGGTTTCCATAACAATGCAAATCCATCAAAAGTGGAATGCATATATTTGTGTATGTGCTTACATAAATAGCGATAACTATATGTAGAAGTATATATTGCTGGTGTAATGCATGAGGTCAATTACATCATAATGTTGTCATTAGGTTGGATTTCCAGATAAGGGTGAGCAGTAGGTAACTTATCATTCAAAGATTTATACAGATATCATCTGGTAGCCAAAGGAATTCATTAATACAATGTCGTCACCACTGCCACTCTGCTTTCCTCTGATCAACAAACACAGATGGTCTAAAACCACATGTACAAACTTCAGGATACATGAAGTTGAACTGCAAAATTTACGAAATCGACAGTTCTAGAGGGCCAATGCAGGGTCGAACTACAGAGATTGGACCTAGAGGGGGGGGGGGTGTCTCTTACTCATATAAGAGAGACAGAGAGAGAGAGTTGTGCCTCTACTGTGCGGGGACATGTATTAATACAGTTATGCAGAGGATAGGTACTTCACTAAATAATCCACTTGTTATATAACTAAGTGAGAAGGGTGTCCCTCTGAAGTGACCACTCGCAAACTAACCAGGCAGCTGCTGGCTGAAGTTTGAGCTTTTTATGGGTGGACAACCAAAGAGAGCTGGCGTTTTTGCGCTTTCATTTTCAGTTGGAATGGGACATCCTGCAAGGCCACATTCTGTCAAGGATGCAGATGTGTTTCGCTGGACCTTTTTTTTTTCTTGGCTTGGTGATGATAGCCTTAATCAGCCAAGCAAAGATCACTCAATGTATGTGGATGTTACGAAAGCAACAAAACTGTGTTGGATTGAACTCTTGAGAATATTATATCTTGGGTTGAGTTCAGTTAATCTAGACGTCAAGGGTTTTGTCAAGGGTTTTATCGTTGCTAGCGTTTCCCAACCTTAACTGATACGTTTAATTTGCAGGTATTTAGAGTTTACTATTGAAAGAATGGGTCATGCATTGAAAAAATTACTCGTTGACACAAAACTCAGGTGGCCCATAGGGGTGAACACTGACCCCCCATTCTTCTTCTTGGTTTTTTTGCTATTGAAAAAGGGGTGGAACAAATGAGAGCGCCTACAAACCACGCTTTCACTGGGATCATGAGGCTCTTGACCGCGTCCATTATTCCTCTTAAAAATAAACTCGAACCTCCAACTTGATGATAAGAAATTTGGCGGATAACCCACTATACTGCCCCACTCTCGGTGGTCACTGTCCCCCATTCTGCTACTAAAGGTGATGAGTTTACATATCGACCCATTCCCGACCGAACCAAATGCCACATACACATCATAATTGGTGGCCTGGTGGGGAGTTCCCTTGGTGGACAACCAATGACCTATCCACCTGTAATGCCTCCGGACCGTTACTGTATAATATTATGGGTAAATTACACTCAAATTCTTGAGATTTGTCACTTAATCACATAAATTTCGTCATATTTCATATATTACATCTAGACCCCTTGTGGATGCCGATTAATCGACAAATGCAACGGAATAAAACAAAAGACCTAAATGCCCCTAAATATCTTCTTACAATGATCAAACTACCTTTATAGCTGAGTATATAAGGTTTCTCACCTTAAGTTGCTTCTCAAAGTGTTTGTCGCACCTTTAGACCTTATTATTGAGTTTGTTCACCTCTAGAATGAAGAACACTTCGGGGCATCCGAAGATCCTTGGCATTTGACGATCCTTGATGTTTGGAGTTTTGTAAGGGTAATCATAGAGTCGAAGTCGTTCAATTTAGAATGTGTCCCAAATATTTGGTTCAATAAGGGCAATTTGGTAAATTATTTTTATATGTTATGATGGCATAATGAGTTTTTAACAGTTACTTTAATGAAGACTGACGACAAGGAGTTATGTGTACACGCACAAAAATCTCAGGTGATCTAAGGATAATATGTCAAATGTGAGAGGATGTACATGATTAAGTAACAAATCTCGAGACCTTAATATTATTCACTTTAGGGCTCGACCTAAACAATTTTAAAGAGTGTTGTACAAAAAAAAGTCTAAAGCTTTACCCTTATGTACCACTCTAAACTCACTCCACCAAAAGATGTGGATTGGGCGTTAACAAGGTTGATGACCTATATTCAATTAGATTACATTCAAACGTTAAAGGCACCAATATTCCTTCCCCAGCTTGTGCATAAACCTCATTTGACACAGACTGATGACTGCACAAAGAAATCCTAAGCTCAAAGACAATCAAACCTAAGCTACCCACTTTTCGAGCTTAGATCAACTCCCAAATTCTAAGCATGAATGTGAACTCCATTACCATAACCAAAAAAGGGAATTTTTTTTGGAAAAGATGGTACTTTGAAGTGCATAAAACTGCATCCATTTCAATTATTTCTCCTGTAAAATGATAGAGAATGGGAGCTGTTGAACAACTTATGGGGCTGAATTCAGGTCTTAGATTTCAACAAGAAGACGAAAAATAAAAAAGAGTAAACAGCAAAAACTCTTAGAATACATATAAAAGGTGAATTCTCATAGGAATAGTCAAGTGTCGGGAGTTCGTGTCCCATTTAAATGGATTAGTTAACCACATCAAAGTAAAAGTATAATAAGATAGATTAATTGAGTCATTCGATCACTACCTCATATTCTCTCTCCCCTACGCTTTTTGGGCCAATGGGAGAGAGAGCTATGACTACATTCTCTCATTCCCAATAGAATAGAGGGGTGAATTCTTTGACACCTTCGTTTAACTTATTTATTGCAGTAAGGGTCTTTGTTAATCCACATTGTGATGTATACACACACAGAGACAAATATGCATTGATAATATTATGTACGACATGTATAGTATTTTTCTCTTTGATTATTTGGTAAATTCGTTCAGTCAACCCATTGGGGGTTGAGGAGAAGGAGAACAGAAACAGTCGTTCACTTAACTTCAAAAAAAATTAAAAAATTCCTTATTTTATTCACATACATATAATCTCCTCTCACCCCACCTTTCGCTGGCCATTCGTTTTCTTCTTACTTTCTTTTTTTTTTCATTTTTCTCCTCCCCACCCTCTCTTTCTCTCTCTGGATGTATATAAATTACATATATCATCATTAGTACTTAAGCTTTCTTCTCTCTTGACTAATACACAGATACAGGCAAAGCCTAAGGTTTTGCAATGAAACAAGTTTTGGTGCTGATTAGTTACAAGAATTTCTATGAACATTATTGTTTCTGAGTTGGTGGGTCAGAATTGGGTTCTTTCTTCATCCATTGGTTTCCTCTTAGCTTAACAGACAAGAACTTGAAAGCTGAATTATCTTCAACTTTTGGCATTTCTTCTTGCTTTGGATCAAATCATATATTGTGTTCATTTTCACATTATCAACACCATACCAAGAGGAAAGAGATGTTGGGAATGAAGCCTAAGACCACCGGAATGCCGTCACCGGCAAAACGAAGCACCGCCGGCAGAAGAGGCGGCGGCGGCTCAGAGGCTGCGGGCTGGGAACTCAGGCCAGGAGGAATGTTGGTACAAAGGCGGAATTCAGATTCAAATCAAAGTTCAATCCCAGTTCCCACAATTAAAATCAGAGTGAAATATGGTTCATTCTATCAGGAAATCCATATTAGTTCTCAAGCATCCTTTGGTAAATTTCTTATTCAATTTTGTGTGTTTTTTACATTTATAGTCTAATTTTTCTTGGGGTGAGAGAGAGTGGGCCAGTGATAAGGTCACACTCCCACCAACAGGTGATTGGTGGTTTCAATTTCATCCCCTTCCCCCGCAAAAGAAATAGTCTAATTTTTCTGATCGAGCATGTTTCAATGCAGGGGAGTTGAAGAAAATGCTGGCAGGGACAACAGGGTTGCACCCTCAGGATCAAAAATTGATATACAAAGACAAGGAGAGAGATTCAAAGGCCTTTCTTGATGTTGCTGGGGTGAAGGATGGATCAAAAATGGAGTTGGTTGAGGATGTAATGAGCAGAGATAGGCGGTGTCTTGAATCGCGCAAAAATGCAAAGATGGATCAGGCATCAAAAGAGATCAAAGAAATTGGCTTGGAAGTTGACAAACTTGCTAAGCAGGTTCAATTTTGGTTAAATTTTGCAAATGACTTCAATTTTGTCTTTTGAAAGGCTTGATGTTAACTTTTTGATGGATCGTACTTATTTGTGTTGTTTTAGGTGGCAAGTTTGGAATCAGAAATTGGTGGTGGAAAGAAAGTAGGGGAGACCCTTATGGCGAATTTGATTGAACTGTTGATGACACAACTGATTAAACTGGATGGAATTGTTGCTGATGGAGATGCAAAATTGCAGAGAAGAATGCAGGTATGTAAGAATTTTGGCTACCCAACTATGTTAATCTATTTCTGCACAAGTTTGTGTTTTCACTTAAAAAAAAAATGTGTATTCATTTGTATATTGTAGGTGAAGATAGTGCAGAAGAACATCGAAATTCTTGATATGCTGAAGATTAGAAATTCGATTCTTGGCAGCAATGGGTCTAAAACCCCATTGCAACAGCACCAAAAGATCTCAACTGGGCAAGTGCCAATACTAGTGCAAAATCAGAAGGAGAAGAGGAATTTGACAGGCCATATGCCAGGGCCAGTCGTGGTAACGACAAAATGGGAAACATTTTGATTTGGGCATTGCAGGCAACTCCATTTACTTCTGCATCTACAACCAAGCATAATGTTACTATAATGTGAATGCTGAGTTTAATTTGTAGTTGTTTGAGTGAGTTCTTATGAACTTTTGATGATCTAAACTACTCAGATGGTACTTTGGGGGGTTGGACTTGTTCTAGATATGTTCCTGGTGATTTTGTTTATTTCCCCATTCGTTTCTGTACTTAAAATTCCTAAGTATCCCCTTTTATCTTGAAGTAGGAAACAATGGGGTTTGTGGTGCTTGGATTGTGATTTGTATATATAGCAGATAGTGAATATATAAGCTTAAGGTTTGTTCATACTTGAATATGTTACATGAAAACTGTCTTTATGGGGTTGGCATTGATAGGTTCAATTAGTTGAGTTGCAGCAACTACTCTCTCTCTCTCCAACCTGGGCAATCAATGAACTTTTTGGTTTATATGGCCAATTTTCTATTTAGGTGTAAACCGTGTAATGAGTGGTGAAATATCCAGTATTTAATCTAAAGCACAAACTTTTTCTTGTTTCTTGTGTGGTTGCAAAAAGATGATTAAATAAGCAACAGGGAAGAGAATATAAATTTGGTAATGATTAAAATACTAATAACAAACAAACTGATAACAAAAGACATGTTTGACTTTGGAGGGGGGATTATGTGAGGTATCTTAATCATTTGGAATCCAATTGTTCTGTTTTTAATTAATTATTGCCTCTTAAATTGTAAGTCTTGTACCAGTGGCATTCATAGAGTTTTGGAAAACCTATTACAAGGTTTAACCATGGAGCAACTTCTTGATTGCTTACTTTCAACATTCTGTTCTTTCTTTTTTTTCCTTGTAAAAACTTCACTTTTTGATTGGTTCCTTCAATATTGTATTCTTTTTATTCCCTCGTAAAAGTTTCAAATATTTTCCCTTGCAAACATTATTTTGTGGCATCAAACTAACATTGTGTAGGAACATGGAGGGAACTATGTTATGAACTAGGGGGGCATGGTCCCTCGAGATTGTGAAAGCTCATTGTTCGGTAGCTGTTTGAATAGTAACTTCTCTTCTCTCAATTTCAGACGATGATACTGGTTGGTTCTGTCCAAGTGGAAGAGTATGTGTTAATGCAGTAACAGAGAAGTAAATAAGAGGAAGCACAGGTTATCCGCAAACCTCAATAGGCCTTTTTCAAGTTGAATAATGTAAAATTTGGCTTACCCAATTGAATTCCAGCTCATTCAACTTGAGTAATGAGATGTTGATGTTCAAACAGAGGTCCCAGAGAGGGGAGAGGCCTTTAATTTGATCATGACAAGCTTACATAAACAGTACACCAATAATTGTACTTGTAGTTGCATCCAGTTGCTTTTCATGCCAGCCTTACATTGCTGTGAATGGAAATTATATTGAAAAAAAAAAAAGAAATTCATCGCACGAAACTCTTATTACTACGAGATTTAAAGAGAGTTTATATGAAAGATTATTTTCATGATTTGAATGTGTGATTCAAAAATCACTCTCAATTCGATATTCGACAAACATATATATTAGAATCTAAGAGTGGGTCTTAGTACAACGATCAAGTAATTTCATTGTAATCTAGTGGTCACAGTTTGAATCGAAGATCAAGAAACAATTTTTTTGCTCGCATGAGTAAGGTCGTATACATCGAACCTTTTTCAAACTCTGTAATAACGAGAGTCTCATACACTGGGTACGCCTTTTATATAAATTAGAACACCAATTTCAAAAATCTGGCATACTAGTCAATTGGATCCAAGACATGAAACCAATACAAAAATCGGAGGAACCACGAAATTATTTATCTTAGTTTCCTGAAAGAAGACAAACATGTAAGCGAAAAAGTTACAGCTTTGGTTTCTATACAGCTCAATAGTAGCAACTCCATAAGTGAATATAGGTAGTCACAGACAAGCTTCATGCCAGACACACAAGAATGGCCTATATTGAACTGAGATTCATCTTCTTCTGTAAAAAAATGCGTGGTGGCTAAGAAAAAGTGAACCCAGATTCTTCAAACATGTGAAGTTGTTCTTGTTATTTAGCTTTGAAGTAAAGAACCAAAATACACCATAAGCTTTTTTCATTTTTTTATTTTATTTTATATTTTTCCTATTGCCTTTGCCTTTTCTCTTCTCAGCAGGCCCACCCAC